GATTACGGCTGATTTCTATAAAACACAAGGGCAGATAATAAACTTCCTGGGCATGTTTTACTCTCAATACGCAGCCAGGCAGTGAAAATGCAACTCAACGGATTAAGATTTAATTAACAAGAAACTTTGCAAAAGCTTGGCATGCTGCCTCTCCATTTTACAAATTATTTATTCTTGCTGTGTTGAATTTAATTCCATAGCCTGCATTTTTTTAAAAAGTGTTAGCTTGTGCTGGCTGGGAAAATGCTTTTCAACTCCCCTCCGAGAAGTAAGATCTACTATTACCTAACTTTCTATCACACCCATGAAAGAGACTGGGAAGCAATATGCAACAATACACTCTAACTCGACAGAAAGGCTAGAGTTGGTTTGTGATTTGGTAAGCCTAAAACTTAATCTAGCCCTTGTAACTTGTGAAGGAATTATCATCATTTTCAATACCAATCATCTTCCAAATGATTGCTCCACATTGGCTGTGTTCACACAACACACATAATTTGTTTAACCATTGAATACTAAATAAACTGCAAGCGGTTGAATTTATGCAGCACATTAAACCATAAATTCTGGTTTAACAACTACATTGGGGCAGTTTATGCAATGTGTTAAGCCACAATCAGGTAAAGCACCATTTGGATCAACAAATGGTACAAAGGCAATTCCATCTATCTTACATCAAGAGATAGCATGTAGAGGTGATGCCTAGGAAAGAGGAAGAATGTAGCCCATTCTTCTTATAGGCTGCTCTAGAGTTTTTATAGGAAAATTCACCATTATAGCACAATATATTAAGCAATCACATAAAACCTGTGTGCATTTTTTTTTACAGGAAAATGACTGCAAACTATGGGTTTGACAAAAATAAGTTGAAATCCATGGATCTGGCAATTTTCAGTTGCAGTTTTATGGGATGGGTCACCGTCTGTTTAGAAGCAATCTAGTTCCACCTCTTATCCTCTCTGGATTTTTATCTGCCTCTATCCAACTCAGCTTGGGCCATGGAAAAGACTATAAGTCCCTTGTCCCATGCTTCCAACACTTTCAGGTGTCTTTCACCTGTAAGGCCCACAACTTACCTTTGAGCTGTCCAAACTAATAGGAGAAAATGATTGTGGGATATTGGCAGGATTGTCTCAGCAACATTTTAGCCACTTTAAATTTTAAGCTGATGAATGCTACTGAGTTTAATATATGACATCTCTAAGATTTCAAGGTGAGACCATATACAATTGGAGATCTTTTATAAACTCTAAATAGCCATGTCATGAGAAGTTTCTTTTAAAAAAATGATCCAGGGAAGCTAAATCAATGTATTCCACTTATTCTTTCCCTGTTTCCAAGGCAAGGGAACAGGAGTATGTGCAGTGGGGTCAAAAAAAGTCATGGTGGGGGATAAAACAATGTAATTGAAACCCTTTCCTTTACATACCGTGTTTCTCATATAATAAGGCTGGGTCTTATTTTTTTTTGAGCCTCGAAAAAATGGCTAGGCCATCTTTTCGGGGGTGACTTAATCCTCCCCCCTTGCATCTTTGGGCGGGCGGCGATGGCTTGGATGTTGACCTCGGTGTTGGTGGGGCACTTCGTATCGGGGTCAACGCAGGCAGCACCATATCCGGGTGTGCAACGAAAGTACTTCCTAACGGCAAGCCCCCCCCCACCATTCCCCACCATTTCGCATGTTTTAATATAGGCCTTAATTTGGGGGGAGGGGCTTAATTTCATTTCATGCCTATAAAACATGCTGGGACTTCCTATTGGGGGAGGCCGTATTGTTGGAGAAACAGGGTATATTTACAAATGGATTCCTAAGTGGTTGACCAACCCACTCTACTTTTAGTCCTTAATAGAGCTACATCTACATGGAAGGAAACATGTAGTGGAGTACTCTATGGTAATGTCTTAGGCCCCAATATTCTTCTTCAACATCTTCATAAACTATTTACATGAGAAGGTAGAAGAGGAACACATTAAATTTGCAGATAACACCAAGCTGGGGGAAACAACCAGCACTTTAGAAGGATCTTGACAGACTTGAACACTGGGCCCAATCCAATAAATTATAATTTAGTGGTGAGAAAGGTGATGGTTTTACACTTAGGTAAGAAAAATCAAATGCGGGGTATAGAATAGGTGGTATTTTGCTCAATAGCAGTAACTGTAAGAGGGATCTGGGAGTTCTAGTGGAGAACCATTTAAATATAAGGCAGCACTGTGCTGAAGCTACCTAAAGACAGCATCAACAAGCTCACTATCAAGCTCACTATCAAGATCAAGATGAAGTATTAGTATGACTTTATACTGTTGGGGTAATACTTGGAATACTGGAAAACTGAGTCCAGTTTTGGTCAACAAAGTACAGAAAAGATATTGAGGCTGTAGAGAAAGTGCAGAGAAGAGCAACAAAGATTATTAGGGGATTAGAAACATATGAGAAACAATTGCAGAAGCTGGATATGTTTAATCTGGCAGGGAAAAGGACTAGAGGTGACATAATGGTCTTCCAACATTTAAGGGTTGTCGCAAAGAACTGGGTGTGTGTGGATGTCAACCTATTCTCTAAAACATCTGAGGGCAGAACAAGAAGTAACAGATGGAAACTTATTAAGGAGAGATCCAACCTAGAACTAAGGAGAAATTTCCTGATAAGGAGAATAATTTATCAGTGGACCTGTTTGCCTCGAGAAATTGTGGGTACTCCATTACTGGAGATTTTTGAGAAGAGATTGGACAACCATTTGTCTGGAATGGTATAGAATCTCCTGCTTGAGCAGAAAGTCGTACTAGAAACTGCCAAGTTCCTTTCCAATTGTTATCCTGTTATTCATATAATGAATTGTGAGGCATATTAAAAAGAGTAGGGCTTCAATCATAGTTGTCATTACCATTTTATTTTTTTTAATTGATAGATTCTTTGCTGTAAAGCGAAGAAATGTAGAAGGGGAAAGAAACTTAAGTTACCAGTTATTTTTGCTTTTGAAAAAAAAAAGAAATTAAGTTGTGTTTAGTTTTTATCAGTAAGAAAGTGTTCCCACTGCACAGCTGAGGCTCCCACAGAATTGTGTGGACACATTACGACCAAGATTTCAGGTTATGTTTCCAAACCTTCTTATATTTTCATCTATTCCCTCTATACAACCCTATCAATTTACAATCCAACAAACAATTCCTTTTTAAAAAATTAAATTGGAATTAGGAAACTCAGTCAAATTAGATCGCTTTTAAAGCTCTTCGATATTAATCCATTTTATTGTGGCAATATTATGTTTCAATCTCACTTTTGAAACTTCAAACTTTTCTTAAAGTTTCCCTACTTATATTAATTTAATCATTCTTATGGCTTGAGGTAGGAGCCAAAAAAATAACTTCAAAGGAAATTTATCATATTGATCATACATGAGTTGCAATCTTAAATAAAGCCCACCAGTAAGTCTCTTTAAATTCAAGAACGTCAACACCTATGCCTGAGATTGATTGTTCTCACTTGCACTCTCCTTCACACGCTCTCTAACTCCTACCAAAAATATTTCAATGACATTTTAAAATATATAGGAAAAGAAGTAGAGAGAACTAACTGCATATTTCATTATACCATTATGGCTGTGGTGGTATTATTATTATTATTATTGTTATTATTATAGATTTAATCTTCAATTCGATTCATAGTCTGGGACTGATGAAAATTTAACAGTTCATCCTAACCAAGAACCTATTATTTATTGCTGTTGTTGTTATTATTTTCTCCCAATAACCTCAAAGGAATTCCCATTTCCTCCAACAACATTATATTAACTGGTTATAGAAGCAGAGCCGTCAGTTTCAAGCCAATGTTTACACAGTTATATTTGAAGTGAGAAAGTAAACAGTCCAGCTGTGCTACAGAACAGTTGGGTGGGATTAGGTTTCCATACCAACCAATTTTAGGAGCTTTTACTGTCTTAATTCAACCATGCACTGAACTTGTTCTTTGTGAGTAATAGTTTTCCTGGGCCAAACACTCCACAGGACAGAAAGAAAAATCCATCCTACAGAAGCATTATCCTGAGGGAGGTACAGTAGGAGATTCCTACCAGCTCTTTTATTTCATAGCTTTATTTAGCAACATAGAAAAAAGGGAGTCTTGGTTATTGTTTTCTTCCTCCAAGTCCTACATTATTTTTAGACCATTGGGATTTCTTTCCATGAAGGGCAATTAGGACTGACTGATATATAGTACAGAAGACTCCCAATAGTAATGGCTAGTCAGCATTCAGAATGAAAAATATATTGTCAGATTTCTGTAAATTAGCTTTTATAAAAACCAAAAGGGGTCCAGAGAAATGGCTTGAATAAAATTTCCGCTGTCCTTTGTCAGTCAGTTTTCTTTTAGACAATCTATTGGCCAAGAGCTAGGAAGCCTCTGAGACCAGAAATTCAAGGTGTGATCCTTTCTGATTGAAAATTAAAAGGTAGAATGTAAATTTCAAAATGCAAGGGAGGAGGAATAGATGCTCTTATTGGTAAACTTGATACAGATAATATCCTAGGTTTAAATTGAATTTTGTCATCATGATCAAAAGTAGTAAAATAATATTTTACAGAGTTATGCACAAAGGAACCCCTATAGCACTGGTTCAAAAATAAATCCTACTGAATATAAACGTCTCAGCTAAGGAGACCAGGAGTTCGCATCTGCAGAATATCAGTTCTTAGATTCACTACTAGAAACATCACTCTTTAAGGGAAAAATTGTTCTATCTTTGAAAGAGATTTCCAAAACTCTTGCAGTAAGAACATTGTAACTATAATATTATATTTATATTTATTGTATTTGAACTGCAGAATTGGTTACCTATTACTGACAGAATCGCCTATTTTAGACCCACCGGTTTAATTGAAGCCGCCAGGATTACCGAAAAATCATCTGAAATCAATTCTTCATTTGATGCAAATTGGAATTGCCCTTAGAAGCTAAAATACTGCAAATAAACGAAACAGCAGAAGTTATTACTGTGGCAGGTTTTAATACAAAATAATATTTATTTCTAGTTTTCTATGAAATGAAAACAGAAGGGAAAAACAAACTCAAAAAACCCTGTTTGAAATGGCAGGAATTTTGTTAAGCTGAAACCAGACAGCGTTTTTGTTTGGATCATTCATTAAATCTGGGTCAACAATAGCCTTTGGATCGAGTCCAAAGGAAAGGACAATTACAAATATATTTACTTTTTAACCTTATTTACATATTATATTTCCCCTGGGAATAGACAGAACAAAGAGTTAATTTTTTTTACAGTATGTTTAATCTCTATGACGTGTTTCCAAAATGAAAACTGACTAACCGTTTCATTTACCATTAATAACTTCGCCTACAAATTACATTAATAATTTAAATTCCCATTTTTTAAAACATTTTGCTATACACTGGCGGGTATAGAGATACAGATAGAAATATGGATGCGACCCGAGGGGAATATCCATGTTTACAGCTATATGCAAAATATAATAATGAGGGACAACTTTAACAGTAAAAAGACATTTTTACTCGTTTTGTTTAATCAACACACTTAAGAGGTTCGCCAAGTTCCACGCATTTGACCACTTGTGTTTGCAACAAATAAAAGTGAAATGAAACCCGGATCACCTAAAAGTCAGGCGAAACCAAGACCGGGGGAGGGACAAGGTGATTTCCCATTGTTACTCACAGAAACCGACAGAAGAATTCGGCAACAGTGCTGCCCATAGACACGTTACACATCTCGGGCTATAACATTTTTGCAAAATTCTGCCTCGCCTTAAATCACTGGCAATAGGTCCCCTTCGCTCGGCTGCCGACGAGACTGCACCTTCTCCTTCTCCTCCTCCTCCTCCTCGCTTGCTCCGCGAAAAGTGCTGTAGCTCCCCTAACACCAACACCACCTCGGCTCCAACTTAAGACTACTCCGCTGCTTCACTTTCCAGGAAACTTACTTCTAACTGGCGCGTTTCTATATCTGAGGATAAGCGGCGTTTAAGACCCCGCTGCGATACCGGCGGGGAATCGAGCCCTCGGTTTAGACCAGGTCGCTCCCCCGCCGCCTTCCGAGAATTCGCTGCCCCGGCTGCCTTTCCGCACCTCTCGGATGTACGTTTGGGCACAGGTTTATATCGTATATATTTCTATCTCTCTATGCATATATATGTACATAGAAAATCCAGTCCCCGGCTTTGCGGCCTACTGTTTGTCTGGGGCGCTATTCACCAAGGGCCCGTAAAGGCCGTTTGGGTACGCCTGCTCCTTGTGCACGCTGGCGGCGGCGGCAGCTGCCGCGGCCGCTGCCGCCGCGGCTGATCTGTCCCGCATGAGGTCGCTGAAGGCGTACTCCATAGGCGGCCGGAAGCCCAGCGTGGGCATTAGCCCCGCCGTGGAGTAAGGGGTCATGAAGGCCAGGCCGCGACTGTGCGCCGCTGCGGCTGAGTAAGCCAGGCGCAGCGGGCTCAAACTCAAGTGCGTGCCTAAGGGGTAGGCGCCGGCCTCAGCCGCCGCCCCGAAATGGGTCGCGTTGGGCTGCAGAGGTGAGAAGGCGGAGCGGCTGCCCAGCGCGCCGATGGCCGGGGTCATGGCGCCGGCCAAAAGAGGGCGGTGATGCGAGGTGCCGCCAGCCGACGAAGGCTGCAGGCCAGCCAAGGTCCCCGGCGCGTCTCCAGCAGCCCGCACCCAGGTTTCGTCGCCCGCCTTGTCCGACCCGACCGAGCTGAGTCCAGAGGCGGCCGAAAGTGCTTGGCCTGGACTGCCGCCTGCTCCCCGGTGGTGGTGGTGGTGATGGTGGTTGTTAAGGATCTGCTCGATAGCCTGCACCACGTCCCCACCGCAGCCGGCCAGGACCAGCTCCAGCACGCTGCGTTTGTGCGCGGGAAACACGCGCGTCAGGATGTCCAACGGCGTCCGCTGCTGCCGGCTGCTCCCCGCCACGGCGGCCGCGGCAGCAACGGCCAAACCAGGCGAGGGAGCGCCTGCTTCGTCCCGTTCTGCCTCAGAGCAACCCGAGTCGGAGCCCAGTGGACTGACGGAGCCTGTGCTCTCCTCCTCGGCTCCGCCGCCCCCGCTGCCCTCTTTGGCGCCTTTGGAGACTGGCGAGCTGACGGAGGACTCGCCGTCGCCGTTCTCCGAGCTGGAGCCACAGCCGTGACGGGGAGGCTCCGGGGATGAAGTGCCTGGCGCGCCGTCCGTCCCATCCGGCGATAAAGGCTTGTTCTGTTGAGGGGTCACGGAGCGGTTGGTGAGAAGCGTCTTGGGGAACAAGTCAAATTTCTGCATCTTGACTTCTGGCAACGAGAGACAGAAAGAGCGAGCTGGACGAGGCTCTCCCTGTCGGTGTGCCCCGCCTCCGCCCCCCCCCCCCTCAAGTGCCGGATGGGGGCCCATTAAGTACTTTACCTTGGACAGAAATGGGAAAGCGAATGGACTTACCTGGGCTCTTTTCGGCAGCTTAGAGCAACCAAGGAACTTAATTCAGCGACCTCTCGTCTTTCTGTCCCACAGGGAACCCACCCAATGGATCTTGCACTCCTCTACCCTAGCCTGATTTCATCACTCTTCTGTCCACCCCCTTTCCTCTGTCTCTGGTGGCTTCAAGTTGCCCTCCCAATCTGCCCTCCACGCCATATCTTGCCATCTTCTCCTTCTTCCCCTCCCCAGATGGCACCTGCCGAGGGGCCGTCGCCTCACCTTGGCGACCTTCCTAAGGAGCTGCTTTAGGATACGAAATCAAACCTCGCTAGGGCGTTTCCTGGCAAGGCTAAATGGCTAAGGTCGCTAGGAGGCGCTGTCTTCTCTCTCGTCTCTCGCCTCTCTGGCTTGGGACGGCCAAGGAGCCCCCACCCAACCCCCAAAAAACTGCAAGGAAAACGTTCCCCGACCTGATCCCCTTAGATGCATGGGAACCCAACTCCCATCATAACTTCTAATAGCATCGCTGAAGAAAACCTGGAAGGCAGCCCAGGTTGGGGTGGTCTCAATTCGAGGCTGATGCCAGCTGTGACAGGCCTCTATAGTTTCAAGGGGCAGTTTACTGTGTAGCAATAGTAACTTACCTGGAAGTAAATCCTATGGCGTCAAACAATTACATGGACACTAAGTGGGCCCCAAATGGGTGTGGAAGACATTATGGATGGGGGAGGGGAGAGGAAGGGAGCAAGAAAGAGAAGAAATTGCTAGGAAAAAGCAACGGTGTGAGTCCTTACTGCGTTTGATATAGCAAACACGAGTGGGACTATAGTCTAGAAATGCCTGGCCGATGGTTCATTGTTAAAGGCAACGGATAGGATTCTTTTTTAAAATAACTCCGTCAGCGACGTGGGGGACTCCTTATCGTGCAGATCGTGAAGAAATCCTGAACTGCCGCAAATGTTGAGATTTGAGGTGCACAAATCGTGTTAAAGGGCGAGCTATTGGTGGTTACGTGGAAGGGAAAGGAACTGAGCGTGGGACGGAGAGAAAAAGTCCAGGCGGACTGAGAAGAAGCAAAAGGTGGAATATGGGAAGGTGGACAGAAACATCCGGGCACAAGGGCTCGTTTTTTAAGTGTGCGCAAGGCTGCCTAAAGAAAGATTGGGAAGCTCAGCCCGGGGCCCTTTCCTCCTCGGCGACCAGTCCCATTCTAAAGTTGGGGTAGAACTCCTGGGGCCGCCGAAGGGCTTTAAAGGGGCCCCCGGGAACCCAAGCTGGCTTTTCCAGAACTTGCATAGGACTCCCTGTCGCCTGTCACATTTAAGGGGCGACGGGGAAACGAGCGCCTTTCAGCTCGCTGCCATCGCCTCAGGGTTGGGGTGCGCGCTAGCTCCTCACCTGAAGCCCCCGAGCCTCCATCGGCGCTGCACACGGAGCCGAAGACTTCGTAGGCGGGCCGCGGCGGGATGATGCCGTTGGCCGCGGCCAGGGCCAGCCCCTCGGCCGTGCCATAGAGCAACTGCAGCTCGCGGGCCTCGTTCTCCTCCTGAGCCTGCTGCCGCCGCAGCGCCACCTGGGCGGCCATGACGCGTTGCCGCTCGGCGATCAGCGTGCACTTGGCGCACAGGCAGTCCTTCCAGCGGCAGTAGCGCTTGTGGCCCTTGAGCGCCGACACCACGCCGTGGTTGCGGCAGCGAGCGCACTTGGGGGTGCGCGGATACTTCTCGGCAGCTCGCAGAAGCAACGGCGGGCCTCGCAGAAGGCTCCCGGCTACGCTCACCGGCAGGCTAGCCGCTGCCGCCGCCGCCGCTGCCGCCGCCACTGAACTAGGGGGCACCGCAGAGGGCGCCGGGGGTACGTTGGTCATCTCAGACCTCAGTTCCATCTTGACCAAGTAGGGGTGCCGTGGCTTCCAGGGGAGACTCAGAGGCGCAGGGCCCTCTCCCCACCGATGCTCCTTTTATACCGTACCTCAACAAGACTTCCGCGGGTTCAAGGGGACGAGGGAAACGCCAGGGCCTTCCTGGAACAACCCGCCGCTCCGCGAGAGCCTAAGTTGTCTCCAAGCCACTTTGAAGGCGGTAAAATTACAAAAATCGAGACCTGGTTTTCCTCCAAAAAGTCTGGTGCGCCTCAGTCCTTCCTCCCCAATCACTCCCCCGCCCCGCGCCTTACTCTACAGCGTAGTTACCTAACTTCGGGGAAGTAAACGGCATTTACTCTTCGAGGAAGCAAACAAACATTCCCCCCCCCCCCGCCCTTTTTGGTTGCTCTGGCTCAACCCCCCACTGAAGGAACGTGGATCCTAGGTTAGCGGAAGTCGGGGCTTCCTTGATCCCCCCGAATCAAAGCCCCCAAGCCCCGAAACCATCGATATGGCTCCCCAGCCATTCCATCTCTTCTCAACTACGCGGCGAAGCAGAATCGCCCCGGCTCACTCCCGGCTGATTTCTTCTCTGGCAAGAACTTACAACGAAACCCGACGGCAACCGCCCCTGCCACGATCCGAGGAAAGGAGAACAGCTGCGCTCCCTCGCCTGCCAATGTTACAAAACACTGTCCTGACAGAAGCGCGCACAAGCCCCTGGAGACGCAGCAGTCCCAGTGCCTGTCCAAGATTGCAGCTTGTCACAATCGCACGCAAGCCAAGCTAACCGTGGCAGAAGACGGAGGATTCCTCTGACCCCCGCCAGGTTTCAGACTTCAGAGTGCAACAATTTCCAACTTCCTGATTCGCGCCCACGCTCCTGTCTCCGCCGCCCTCTAATTTTTTCTCAGCCTACTCTGCCTCTCTCTTCCTCCAGCTACAGCTCCGCCAACCAAAGCCGCCTTCAACAGGCAGCCGAACCCAGTCCGGACCCCCCTTTCCTCAGCCCCAACTTTGCATGCGCGCCGCTAAAGAGAGCGAGAGTTGCCAAGAGATAGAAATCTTCGCCGAACCGCCCGCGAGCGCTTGCTCTATTGTTGCGCCTTACGTATCCATTAGACAACATTTGACAACAATGTGGCGCCTGCCATTGGCTGAGAGGGGAAAGAGCTTTTCTGATTGGCCACTCGGATGTCTACAGTGTCCACCCGAACCTTCTTTCAAATAAACTGTTTTAGGGGGAGGGGGGCGCTAAGAAGGGTCCAACGGGGGAGGGGAAGATTCATTGGGGGGGGGGGGGAACCCCAGCAAATAGTTTTCATTTCTCCCCCTTTTTCTTTTTCTTCTTCTTCTTCTTCTTCTCTTTCTTTCTCTATCCCAAATTTTCTGTTACGTTGTCCGGGCATTTATAAAATCCATTGAAAACTGTAGTTGCTCTGCCGATTGATTGTGCTCTTTGAACCTCACGTTTTCCTGGGGTGTCACTTGTCAAGATCAGATAGAAAAGTTGCCACTAATAGGATGGCCGTCCTGATGGTTTCGTTTAAGAGCACAGACTAACGTTCCCTTTTCTCTTATGCCTTCTACATCTTCAGGTTCAGCGGCTGCCCTCAAAGGGAATACCGGCGAGGTACTGTATTACATTTTATATTTGGGAAAGAAAAGGGGAGGCTCACTGACCGCATTACTTATTATATATTTCATTCTCTCTTTTTTTTTTCTCAGATTCAATTATTAATTGTTTAACGAAAAGTCAATCAAGATTGTTTAGGACTTTCTTGTAGGACAATTAAAACAGGGAATCGATCCGTGAGCAATTACGCTCGCTACCACTGGATTCATTCGCTTTTTAAACAATATATTGTTTTTGTTGTCGACTATCATTTGCCTGACATGCAGTGCCTGACGTCACACTCCTTGGGACTTACTTGTTTTGAAGAAGTCACCCAGATCAGCGGCCAGGCCATCTGGAGCAAATAAGGCAACCCATTTCCAAGTTAATTTCGCCCGAAAAAAATGGGCTGGGCAGCTTTGTCGGTTTCTCCCCGAGAGAAGACAGTTTCGAAACGTTAGTAATTAAGTGTGTTAGTGCAGGAGGTTTTTTTCCCCCCTTTCTACGCCGGCGAATAAAATGCCTTTCCTGTCCCCGAGGGGGGGAAATGGTGAACAAAACTTGTACGTATGTTTTACATGTATTTCCCCCAAAATTGTAAAGTTGGCAAAGCAATCTCTACTTGCATACTTCGGAAATGTTTTACATATTAACCATCCCCGGAGTAGGAAAAGTAACAGCCTATTTTTCCAGAGAAAAGCTCCTGGCATAGGAGGTTTTCTTTTCTTTTCTTTGCAACGGTTACTTTATTCTTACACGTGTGTTCAAGAGAGCAAAATCTCCTCCTCCTCCAATTTTCGTTAGAGGTCGCCGAGATTTAGTTAAATTAATGTCTTAACTCATGATTAAAAGTCCCTTCCCAGAAGGGTGGAAGCGCTAGAGTTGGACACCCCTTTTCCACAGCGGAGGGAAGCATAGCACGGTGGATGTGGCCAAGAACTTGCCTGGAGCCCCGGGGCAAGGGCGGGGGAGCCTTTCATTGGCGAGGTAGGTTTCTCCGCAGTTGGCCTACTGAGGAGGCATGTCTCTCTTTTGGCCTCCTTTAGAGGAATTTATTTGGCCGGAATAATGCGAGTCCAGCTCCCGCTTGGCTTCCTTTCTCAGGTTGGGGGGGGGTCACATTATTCCAAAATCCCCCTCCCTTGTTTTTTAATTGTCACCAAGGAGCCAGAATGAAGCTGGCCAACATAGGAGTCCCGCTCTTTGCAGAAGAGGCTGTTAGTCAGGAAAACTATACTCTGGCCAATGGTGGCAGAGAATTTTTACAAACAGAAACAGCAACCTGGGGATTAACTAACCCAATAGCAAATCTCAATAGTACTTTATCTTTATCTAGTGATCAGTTGGTTTCCTTCTCCTCCCAAAACAGTTGAGAGAGTGTAAGAAGGATCTCCTATAAACACAAATCAGCGAATCTCTGAAATGGGCTGAGCATCTTGCTCGGATTCTAGTTTCCAGGTGATTCGTTCTTCTGCTTTCCACTGAAGTTTAGAGGCAGGAAATGTGATTTGGTTTTATTTTAAACACGAAGGACTTTTGAGAAGGAAGAGCTCACTATAGTTCTGTTGAGAGAGAGAGAGAGAGAGAGAGAGAGAGATGACTGCATTTTTCTCTATTGGTGATACCTAAAACAAAAATAAGATCCAAAAACCTGCATGGAATAAAAATAGATCTAAAACTGCATGGATTAAAATGCTGATTGTTTCCTATCCCACAAAAAGAAATATTCACAATGAACAGTGTCATTCTGAAACATGAATTGATACGATGCAATTAAGTACAGTTTGTGGGATATCAAAAAGACCCAGACTGTGCTTATCTTCACCTGACCAATAGCAAAGCTTCCACCAATAGGAAGAATGGTGCCAATCACCAGATTCTTTGCAGAAATATCTGGGCCTAATCTTGTCTTGTTTGGTTGCAAGAAACTTCCGGATTTAACTCTAAATCATTTCATAAAGGGGTGTGAAAGTATATATTCACATTTATTTGAACACCTTATTTCATGCCTTTCTCAGTTTTAAAAAAAAATGAGGCCAGCACAAATTTCAGTCTTTTAAATCCCAAATCCTATAATTATCTAGTTCGATGACAAGATAAGTCACTACTACTATAATTAACCATTTGCAAGTCTCATATACACAGCATGAATTTTGCTATCTGAATAGACAGCTCACGTTAAGAATTAATTGGCTGTTTAAGTCTTAGATTAATACAAATGTAAGGGATGTTATCTCTTTCTAATCAGTGTCCAGGTGCTGAATAATCTGGTAAGCATGTTTTTCTATGTACCCTTGCTTTGGGAGGGAGGGAAGGAAGGAAGGAAAGGAAGGAAAGGAAGGAAAGGAAGGAAGGAAGGAAGGAAGGAAGGAAGGAAGGAAGGAAGGATCTTCATAGCCCAAAGTGTGAGTAATTTAAAATCAGGAGCAAATTTTAGTACGTTTGTTTTAAACGTGCTCTCTGGGGCTTTATATCATCACAACAGTGGCTGGGCCGTGCTGGACATCTCTCCTGTGGAATTAACTAAGAAAAGAGTCTGCCCCATTCATTAAGGGTAATGAATTAAATGAATTAATTAAAATCAAGATTCGCTTCGTAACATTTTGGAATTCGGAGCAGACTGGGAGAGAGAGAGAGACATATATTCCGCCCCACCCAAATATATCTAGGTGAAACTGCCGAAGTGCTGGCCCCCGCCTGCGCACCTCTTTCCCGCGTGAGAGGCCTGACTCGACTGGACCTGCTTTTTCGTTTCTTTAAAAACAAAAAAAAATCGATGGGCACCAAGGAGGGAACCTCCTTCTCCACTCCTCCTTCACTCCCACCTACCCCCTATTCCGTTTCTCGGGCTTGAGCCCTTTCCCGCAGCGCCGCCGAGACACCAGCTAACCAAGCGTTTGCTGCTGCTGCTGCGTCCTTTTTTTTTTTTTTTTGAAACGGTCTTGAAGGTCACCTCAAAGGTCGCCGCTTCGCTTCTTCATCGGACTCTTCGCCAGAAAGAAAACAGCCGGCAGCTCCGCCTTCGGTCCCCTCGAGGCAACAGGCTCGCGGAGAGACCCGCCAAGGTTTCCCAAAGGAGCCAGCGATTCCCGCCCCTGCAAGAGACCTTTCGGGGAGGCTTCGCGCTTGCTGCTTTCCCGCGCAGCAAATAGACTCCCCACCCCCCCCCCCCCCCCCCCCCCCCCCCCCCCCCCCCCCCCCCGCCCCCCCCGCCCCCCCCCCCCCCCCCAAAAAAGGGGAATTCCCTGCCTGGATATTAAAGGCAGGTCCTTCGGGAGGCTGGAGGAGCGGGCCCGGGGTCCCTTTTGGAGGCTCCGTTTTCCTTTCTTGACAGGCATTTTTCCCTTCCGGGAAGGTTTGTTTGGGTTGCTTTTATTTTGTCCAATGAAACGCGCGTCTCCCTCTGCTCTTGCAAATGCTTCGGGTACTCGGCTCCTTCCCTAAGTGGCGCCCCTGAGATCCTGCACCCCCCCTTCCCTCCCTCCCTCCCTCCCTCCCTCCAAACCTCCCGAAACAGCCCAGATTCCACGGAGTAACCAGCTTCAGAATAACCTTTGCAGTCCTTTGCAGGTTGAAACCTGGATCCTTTGCCCGCAAACTTCTTGGGACCGGAGCTTTATGGTGCCAAATAGTGTGTGTGAGAGTGTGTAGGGGATGGGGGGGGGGTGTTTCTCGGGTGCACTGTTGCTCCCTGAAAAGTCTTCCTGGAACTGGAGCCCTGTTGGGTTCGGCGCCGTTTCCTGCGTCTTTTGCAGGACTTTCTCAGCAAAGGAGCTTCAGGCGACCTTCCAAATTCGTCTGCAGTTATTTTCAGAATCGGTCCAGGCTGGTTCATACAGACTGGGATCCGCGACGGTTGAAAACATGGGAATCTTAAAGACAAAAACAGACCCCTCTATACGTGTTCAAACAACCCGCCTTTGACCAGGCCCGTTGCTAATTTAGAGGCTGCGTTTGGAAGGAAACGCACCACGCCAGGTTTCAGTCTTGGCTGGTTGCTTTGCTTTCCCCTCCCCTTTCTGTACAAGGGACTTAAGAGGTTGTACGAATGAAAGCCATGTGGTTAATGTACAGTTCGATGGGTCGTGCGAACCCATCAAATGGGATTCTGGCTAATTCAATAACCGAGTTAAATATGTGAGACTCTAGCTTTTATTTCGGACTGAACTTCCCCCTACTGAGTGCCTTAAGAATTACAGAGCCAGCCAGGCCAAATATCATCTGGAGCGCCCCGAGACAGGTTTGAGGACGCATAACCTGTGCCCTACGTCGGGAGGTGACTCCGTCAAGGCTACCCAACCGAGAGCTCACCTTCAGACCGAGCTCGTTCGTGTGTGTGTGTGTGTGTGTCCGTCCTGCAGCAAGGAGATCCAGCCAAGAGCAACAGTAACCAAGTTGGACCTGCGGGAGGGGGGGCAGGATAGAGACGACACCTTCGCCCTTTCTCCCCCCCCCCCTCCCCCCCCCCTGCCCCCAGCCGGGCTCCCCCGCTGCCTTCGAGCCAGAAGTATCGGGGAGATATTTCAACCTGTGCACAGGGAGGACGTGTGGACGAGGCAACCCTGGCGGAAAATGGGTACCTCTTTCTCC